AGCACGCGAGGAAGTCTGCAAATGTTAAAAGGACATAATCCGAGGCCTTCCTCCAAATGACACTTTCAAGGGTAGCTTGTTTGGTGGCAACAAGGAACAGTATCGTCTCAGTGACAGTCCTCAAATTATGGAATGATCATACAGAGCCCCATGTAGAACCAGATTCACTAACTTTTTGGTGCCAGGTTAAGATTGTTCTCTTAGCTACAGCATTTTCCTACTCCAAATAGCACATGGTGGGTAGGGGTGGAGTTTGTCAGTCACTTTTAGCCGGCAAGAGCTTCAGCTACTGGGCAGTATAGAAATAAAGAAATATATGTGTCCAAAGGAGCATGAGAGTGATTACTTCCAGATGGCAGTTCTCATCCAATTGCCCTGCCTCCTCCTGATTATTTTCAGGGCCCAGACAACAATGCCTTTTATTTGTAACCCTCCCGTGGCTTTCCATTACTGCTTCTGCCTTTTCTGCAGCAGCCAAATAAATAAATACATCAATAAATAATCTGTTAAGGAGGAAAATAACTGCATGCACATTGTCTTTTGATCGTTGGCTGTAGGACCTGTGAGCCTGAAAACATCTAGTCTTGAAGTTCAACAGGGTTTATTCTAAGTTTAAGAAACTTGTGTTCTGGATTCTAGGGCTGGCTGGAAATGGCACACTGGAATGAGTGTTACTAGAAAGCAGAAGGCTTGTAACTCCCAAATATACTTGTCTATATATTAAGGTGACCCTTGTTGACTCTTCTCAGAGTTCCCCCCCCCCACCCCCCACCCCGCCGCTTATGAGAATTTGTTGGTGGCCAAAGAAAGTCTATTTCACTGTGGAATGTTTCTTTCTTGACACCTCAGCAGAGGCTAAATGTTTCTTGACTCCTCAACAGGTTTTTGTATGCTCAAGTCTCTTAAAGTCATCTTTTTGATCTTTTTAATCTTGAAGCTGTATTTCTCTCTACTTATACTGCTGCTGAATTAATGTATTTATTATATTTTATGTTTTATTTTTATTTCATATCATTATTAGTTTACTATTATTTTATATGCCTATAACAGCCAATAGCCAAAGCTCTCTGGGTGGTTCACAATTTAGCATTATGACTATCTTGCATTAATAGAGTAGAATACAAATATCTATAATAAAATAAGGACATTTCCTACTTAAATAGAGAGCTTACTTTCCCAACAATAACTAACCCAGTAAATTCAAGAAGAATAAACTCATGTAAGGCAAATCTTTTAAAAAACAAAGCAAAACAAAACCCAATCCTGGTAAGGCTATCCTGGATTCAAGAGTCTAGCTGCAACTGTTGTGATAGCATTGGATGGCCATTTTGTTTGCTGTTGTTTATATAAAATCTGAATAACCTCCTCTCCCTTCCCTCTGTTTCATTTCACAAATCTGCATGTGTGCTTGGCAAAGAGGTGGTGTCGTCAATGACTGCATTTGGACATGGCAGTCTGCCAGGGTCCATTGGTTGTTCAAGCTAGCATGTGTATGTTTGTGCTGCATCAAAGAAGCAAAAACCTGTTTTCTTGTTTTCTTATATTGATAAATTTATGCACGTGGCTGGATTTAGAGAGATAATCAAAAGGGGATGGCTCCCGTCCAAGCAGCAGCCACCAGCCAGCCACTCTGGGGAAGTTTTTGACAAGTGGCCCAGATTTCACAGTTTATTCAAAAGGCAAAGTGTGTTCATGAAGCAGAAGCTTTATTAAACAAGGCAGTGATAGGGTTTCTCATTGAGGAGATATGCTTTTTACTTAACATTCACAAGTTGTTTATGGATTAATTAGCCCATCTGTTCCAACAAATATATTCAAATTTCTTTTGTGAGATCCAAGGGACCAACAGCAGAAGCCAATATCTCTAGACTATTTATTTATTGATTACATTTATATTCCACTTTTTAATGATGGAACTCAAATTGATATATGTAGGATTTCCTGTCTCCTGTCTAGATGTTGACATTGTTTTATCATTATAGGCCTACATCTGCCTCCTGAATTTCCTATATTTAAGAAATAGTCAAGCTGCTCTTTAGAAATAAGGTGCTTATTTTAACATAATGTTCTCTCAGGGATGTGTGAGACATTTGTTTCAGTTTGCTTTTGATCAGGATTTGCTAAGTTTATATATTTCTGAGTGAGCACAGATTCAGACACAATCTGAAGCTTCTTTCTTCCCAGTGTGTTTTGTAGACCAAATAAACCTTGTACAGCATATGTACATTAGAAAAATATGCACTTTTGCAAAACTGCCAGTTTAATCAATTGGACAAGAATGAATACGTTAAAAGATTGTCATAGTTATTATTATTAATTTCATTTCAATACTTCCTGTAGCTGAAGCTCTCTGGGTGGTGTACAACAACTGTACAACAATCAATGCCAGTATTTGCAAAATATGCATCAAAACACATCAGAATTTTTTTTTAAAAGATGTTCGCAGCCCAGTACATGCTTGAATCAGAAAGATCTTTGTGTTTGAATTCAAAGAAATTTGATGAGCCCAAATTTTGCTGATTGGAACACTCTCTATAGAGAGATATAATTATTAGTACTTCTGAATGTATATATTCTTCAAGGGCTGTTTTTATTATCCATCCATCCTAAGGAACTAAAAGTGTGTTTATGCATTACATTTCTTAAAAAGCATATTGCATTGGTTGATTTTGAACACATACATAGGCTGTGCATTTTTGAATGGCACTTACTATAGTGTAGTACTGTTTGCTGTCTTAAGATAACTATTGGGGCTTAGTCGATGACAGAGATGTCTACAAGTAATGGACAACAGTTCTTTCAATCTGAACCTCAATCTGAACCTATTTCTCCTCTTTCAGTTGCCTTACACTACAATCTCCGCTCACGGTTCCTCTCTTCTTGTACCAAAAGCTGCCCCTAATGGGAAATTGCAAGATAGCTTAGATAAGTGCTCATTCAGGCATTGGTATCTACTGCAGAGTGTTGCCACTTATGTGAAACCAGAGGTACAATTTGATAAGTTTAGACTCTGAAATTAATAATCTCAGAAGGGGTATAATAAAGCCCCTTTAGAGAAGAGTGTTATTTACTTCAGTTCCTTCCAAATGTGGTAGGCTACCCCTGCTGAACTTTGAAGCCTTCCTGTTCATTTTGCTCTGGGCCTCTGCCTGCAAAGTCCTGCCCTAATGGTTCCAACCATGTGCCTGGTTGGCACTGCTTTAGCACACTTCCGCCATAAAGTGGCCATCTTTGCATGTGCTTCAGCTATACTGCTCATCCACTGCTCTCCACAGGCGAGGGGCCACTGTGGGCTTTGAAGTCTGCCCATCTGGCCACAGATTTAGGCTTATTTTGTCAAGTTTATGTTGTGCAGTGGTACACATGTTCAAACCCTATGAACATGAAAATGCCATGTAGGAAATACCCGGTTCTGAGACATACAACGATACTGCTTTCTCTCCCTAAGGTATATATGCTTGCCTTTATTTATTTATTTATGTATTTAAACATTTATATGCCACCTATTTTGCTCTGGCATCTCTAGGCAGCTAGCAACAGATAATTAAAATGCTTTATAAAACAATGGCATGAATTAATATAAAACTGGATAAAATTACATTAAAAGCAATACAAGTGGAAAGTTAGGTAGTGACTAATACATATTAAAATACTCGGGAAACAAAGGCATGGCTGTGGTGGTGGGATCAGTGGCAATAACAGTGTAACTGTTAGTACAACTTCAAGTAGACCCATTGAAATAATTAAATTCAGAATAAGACTGAATAAAATGGTCAGTATCCCATGAGGAGTTGGCTCTTTTTGCTGCGATTACACAGGCAGTTAAGCTATATATCTTTTCGATAGAAGTGGGCATGGTTTAAAAAATGGGTGACCTTTATTCAGAATAACTAATCATGTCAAAGAACTGTAAATGATGATTAAGAGAAGGCAGCTTGTGTCCTAAGTGCCTTAACATCTTACAATGAAATCACATGAGGATAGAAACGTTCTAAAAGTCATGATTTCCCCCGGCCCCGCACTTTGTGGTAAAGCATAAAGAGGTGAAGGAGAACCTTAACGTGCACTTTGAAAAGTGAAATGCTCTTTTTCCGTCTTCTTTTTTGTATAGCTACATACCGCTGCTGACCCTCTATCAGTCCTGTGTACCTGGCATCACCAGGGAACAGCATTGTCCCATGTGAGTCTGCCTGGGTTTCACACTCTTCTGGGGATGCTCTTCTCTTGGTCCCACAGTGATTGGAGGTGGATTTGATGAGGATGCAAGAGAGTATTCTCTCAAGAGAGAGTGTCATTATTTAGGCAGACATTGGCACAAAGCTGGTCAGCAATTGAAGGAGTTTCATTTGAGTTAGGTGCTACTCATTACTTTTCATATTTTGTTTTAATTGTGTTTTCATGTATTTGCTTTTGTATTGTGTTTTAATTATGATTTTGTTCGTACCCCACTTTTATTGTTGTTAGCCATCTTGGACCCCATTTTAGCTGGAAAGTCAAGAAATTGATTTAATTAATAGTGTGTATTTCTACAATTGTGAAGCACACATTTCTGCACTCTTCTCTCTTAATCCTTCTCTTTCTTCTGTTTTAGCCCAACAGGTAGGTTATGATAAAAAAAATGATAGATGTTAAGAACCCCTGATGACCACCATGTTCTGCCCCCTGTTCTTTTTTTTTTAAATAAGTTTTATTTGAATTATAATCCTAAAAAACTACAAACAACATTCATCATCAAAAAACATCAAGCCCCACACCCTTCTTTTCCCATTTATAGTAACGTTAAAAACATATTTAAATCTATGCAAAGTCCCATTTCTCTAGCCAATAATAAAAAGAGTCCCAAGTTTGATAGAAGTCAATATCTTCCTTCTCCTTCAAGAATAAAGTCAATCTGTCTATTTCTGTACAGTCCAGGATTTTTATTTTTTTTTAGAATCAATTCATCTATGGGCCCCCTGTTCTTCTGTCAACTAATCCAGGTAACATTTGCTTTGTTTTAGGTCAACGGGAAGGATCTCTCCAAAGCCACGCATGAAGAAGCAGTGGAGGCTTTTCGCAATGCTAAAGAGCCCATAGTGGTCCAGGTTCTCCGGAGAGCACCTCTTCTCAAAACACATGGGAGCTCACAGGACATTCGGCTCATGGATGCCAGCACACAGACAGATATTACATTTGAGCACATTATGGCTCTGGCCAAGCTAAGGCCAACCACACCTCCAGTACCTGACATCTGCCCCTTCCTGCTTTCTGACAGGTATGGCACAACTTTTTCCTTGTAAGAAGTTATCGTTACCAATTTCCAATACTGGATTTCCTATTTTTTTAATAAATAAAGTTCAGAAATCTATCATTTTCAAAGGTGGTAATCATGACCCTGTTTTAGGAAAATAGCCTCTGATGTCTTGGCAATCTTTAAACCTCTTTAGAATCAAATTAGACAAATGCATGAAGATGAATAGTTTTTCACCAGTGAGTGCAGTTGCTGGAGCTAGAGGTCCCCAGTGGCGTAGGTCACTCACATTCATTCACTTGAGGCATCTGATTAGTCAGTGATGGCCAGATTAGATAAATCTTTCATTTCATCCAACAGTGTTCTTCTTACATTTACATGCAGTGTTCTTAGTTTCTACACATGATTTTGAAACTTTGTCCTTATGAGACAAAGAGTTGTTTTTTTTTCCCTAGAAGCACAGGAGGCATACGTTGTCTCTGGAATCCTTACTGTTTCTTCCTGAATTCCTTTGGTGAAGGGGCATTCCCAAGTCCACGGCTCCTTATTGGACTCCCTAAATTCCACGTATATCTGTGATTTGCCAGTCATTCTGTTTCAAATATATTTATGCAAAGATTTCTCTGTACTTGAAGTGGTTTTAAAATTCTGTGTTTGGTCTCCCATTTTGTCCAGCTTTGGGGATAGAAATGAATGAATGAATGAATGAATGAATGAATGAATGAATGAATGAATGAAATTTCCGTTGCATTGCTCTAAATAGTATTTGCTATAGGAAAAAAACTACTTCAGAGTCTTTAAAAAAATCTGCTATCAACTGCTCTTCCTGTTCTGCTTTGTTCCACATAGCTGCCATTCTCTTCATCCTATTGAGCATGAATTTTATGATGGTAATGAATATCTTTCCAGCCTGCCTGCTGATGCTGACAGAACTGAGGACTTTGAGTATGAGGTAAGAGCACTGCCACAAAATGGCTTCCACCCCCATCAAAGCATCCACAAAACTGTTTGATATGTCTTGATTTGGAAATTATAACTTAAAAGGAAAAAAATGGGATGCTTCTTCCCACCTCTTTCATGTCTGTTCAGTGGTCCCAGACATGGGATCTGGGAGCATTTGCCTGAAAATATAGCATTAGCATGTGTCCCTGGTTATGAGTTTATGGAGTTGATTAAATGGGCTTTACAATCATTAATTGACTGACGGTGGAATCTTATAGCTCTCTAACTGAAATGTAAGCCCCACTGCCTTCAGTACAAGCTAAGTGGATATAAGATTACAGCCTCATGGATTTAATTGCTTGTTCTGAAAGAGAGTTGCAAATAAAAATACTGCTTTATTTCCTGCTGTGTTTGAAGCTTGATCTTGCAGGGACTATGGGTTGAGTTCCTTTCAGATCAAGGCCCAAACTTTGATCAAGGCCCAATGAGAGTGTTTTTTTTTCTAGCTCTTTAATATGGTATTTCCTGAATGTAGTACAATGAGAACAAATTGTATGTGGTGCCATGCATATCTGTCTATTGTGTGTTCATTACAACCAGTAAGAGTAGCTGCTACTGGGTCTGCTATTGAAAACAGTATCTGCTATTGAGAAACTGTGATGTATCATTTCACCAAATAATAGTACAGTTTTAGAAATGTTTCCCTTTTGTTTGATTTTTCATTTCAAAATCTAAAGGTCCTATTTGTTTGGCAGGTGTTATATTTTTATCTTTCCCTTAGCACAATGGCAGAAGAGTGAGTGGTTTTAAACAGCAAAAGGGTATTTTTTCATTTTTCATGAAAAGCTTTCATTCAGTTGCACTTGGAATTAGAAAAAAAGTGATTCATTTTTCTCATATTTGATCTCCCATCAAAAAATGTAATGAAACTTAACTTGGTATTTGGAAACCAAACAGAATGGCTGAAGTAAATGTCCCTCTTTAATGTTACCGTTGCATAAGCTTTCTCAGAGACGACCAGGGTCTTCCCATAGGACAAAGTAAAATGAAATAATATTGGCTCACCAAAGCTTACCCAGGATAAAGTGTTATTTGTACTGTTTGAATAAATCATTGCAGGATTTTAATAACATTGGCTTTTCCTACCTTGGCCTTTCAAGGACCTAGAAACACCTATAAAAGTCCTTAAACATTTTAATTGTTAACTAATATTGTTAACTAATATCCTTAATGTTATTATTAACAATTAGTTAATAATAACATTATACAACTATCCATCATTTGTACTCTTTTAGATATGTAACATCAGCTGTATGGCAGAAAATTTTTGGAATAACAATTTAAAAACCCAAATCATAAAGTAAAAATGCTGAACAAGTTGTTGTTTTTTTTTCTATTTAATCAGAACATCAATGGTATCCAATTCTACTCTTCTGTGATTCTTCGATATATTAAAAAATACAATCAGAGTGAATGCACAGACAGAGATTAGTATTGAGGAAACTTGTCCTCTTTATGACTATTATTAATCTATAATAATAGCTAGCATAAGTATTGTGACAGTGGTAAACGAGCAGGTAAGTTTTCAGTAGCATGTAATCTCAACTAATCATACTATCCTAGTCATTAATTTGCTGTCAGCTATGATTCAGTAGCCCAAGGCAAGCCCAGTGAGTGATTCAAATAAAGCACATTTCACATGAAATTTAAACAGGAAAGCAGCTGTCTGGCTTTGCAATAAGGAAAAATATTTGTTCCAATGAAGAGGTAATCTCCATTCCATGGCAAATCAAGATAGGAACAACATTTGCTGCAGCACTGAAAAAAGTAGTTCCTTTCCTCAGGTTTCTGTTCATGTTCTGCTACAGATGAAGAAAGCGCAACATTTTCATAAGCTCAGCAGCTCTGCACCTTGCATATATGCATATCACACCACTTCTATTTATTTTTGTGCTAAAAGTGGCATAAACCACATTCTTGTGGGAAAGAGGAAAAATACATTGAAAAGCAGAGATGTTGTAGAGGTACAATGGAGTCTTGCACCAAATCTTTTCCTTGCATCCCATGGACTGTGATCCATACTTGCCAAGTGGTCAGAGGTATCTTCTCAGTAGATGTCAGAAGACTGGGTGCTACTGTAATTGGAAAGCTTGATGAATGTGTGTCATGCAAACATGATGTTTAGGGTTATCTTTACCATTAGTCTGTTAAGTAGTGAAGAGTTAAGTAGTTAAGTAGTGTTGGCAGATGAGCTGTGTACGCCATGTGTCCTGGCCTGCATTTCCTGCTGTTTTCACACACAGTGGAGTTTGCTGTCTCTTCAGTAGTACTGAATTAAAGATTCAACTGCTTCTTTGCATGGAATGAGAACTTGCTGTTCATCTCAGGGAACAGAATTTCTTGAGCTAGACCTGCTTAGCATAGTCTAAGAATCCTCTTCAAGATCAAAGATTTGACCAGGGCAGCTCCAGGATTTTGAAGAACTTCAAGCATGGGCCTCGCCATGGTCCTTTTCCATGCTCATCACCATTGTCACCACCTGCTATTGTTCCTCCTCCTCTCTCTCACCATTGTTATCATTTGCTTGCTTGGCAGGCACAGAGCCAGTGAGTGGCATCTGTTGCTCTTGGTTCTGACCCTTGGCACAATGCCTAGGCCAGAGTGGGAGGCTGGTGAAGAAGCAGATGACAATGGTGAAATGGAAGACGAAGTTCAAGAGGTTCTTGTCAGGAGGTCTTTGTTGAGGTGTGGGGCCCTGGCAGGTGCCCAGCCTTGTCTATCCTTCACACTGGCCCTGGTTTTGACACAGGTGAGTGCAATATAAATATAAATAAATATATGGAGGGGGGAGGATGTTGCTATGATATTTCCCAAAACAGCTTTGTTATACTGGCTGTCTGGAAATGCAACTGATCAAGAAGGAAAATCATCCCATGCAAATAAGGTATTCAGACAGTGAAGTTAACTGCAAATTAGATGTTTCCAGATTTATTCATCTCTTTCTTCTCCTCATTTTTGTTGGTGGTCTTTCAAGAATATGTTCTATGTAAGTATTTAGAGCCTTTCAAAAAAGCTTATGATGAACCCAATAGACTGTAGCAGATCTGTCTATCTTGTGAATGCATATTTAGAGGCTTTTCCACACATGGCTTATTTGCCCACTAGACCAAAACAGATTTGTCTATCTTGTAAAGACATATTTAGGGACTTTTTAAACACAAGGATTACCAAGCTGATAGCCTGTAACAGCTCAGTTCACATCTCTGATAGCCTCTAACCAAACTTTTGCAAATATTAGCATCAGTTTTATAGGCATCACTATGCTTCAGACATGCTGTAGACCATATACTAATTTTCTTAACTAAAAGAATGTAGCAGTGCTGATCTCTAGTAGCTTTCATTAAGCCTGAGTGGGGTTAAATCTATGGGTTTTTAAATATTTTTTTAACTGTGGAGAAATATTACTCAATCTTTCTTGTGCCTAAGCTAAATTTATTTCTGTTTATTTAGCTGTATCATTGGACCACATCATCATAATTTGGCTGTTTTTGAGTGGTGACCAGCATTTAAGTCTAATAGCTTCTAGGAATATTCACATTGGACTCTGGCCATCCTAAGAATTTTCTCTTTGAATCCGCCTATCAGGATGTCAGACTGAAGGTTCGGGGTCCTCAGCTCAAATGCTCACCAAGGACTGTGATATCCTTGCTACACTCTGTACAAAACTTATATTTGAGAGACCAGAAAGCCAATATCCAAAGTAATAGGCCAGGTCCACTGCTGCAAACCATGTTGTCCATTCCTCATACAGTATTTAAAACTTTGCAGAAGGGGATTGTAAATACTGTGGCAGGTGTAGTACAGTATTATGTGAATTTCATTGAGGATTTGTTCCCACCAGAGGTCCTTGTTTATATTGACTGTGGTTTTGCAAGTAGATTAAATTCAAGCTGGAAAAATTAAGGGTGGGAGGTATTTGCTCCTTTCATCCATCCCCCATAGTTAATTTAGAGCATATTTGACTTTTAAGTATAATAAAGACCTCAAACAAAGAAAAAAATCACTTACAAACATAACAAAGAACAACATGAACTAAAGAATTAGAAAATAGCAAGACCACTCACAATAATTTTGAAGAAATTACTAGTTATATATTCCACAAGTGTTGGACACTATGCTAACATCATTGGTTTTAGCATTGTGACAAAATTAGGCATTGACCCCTAAATCATACATGCATGTATAAAAAATGTAAGGGAGATATAAATAGTGATTTTTAATGTCATGTACCAGCTGCTTATTACTTGGAAGCAATTTTCTCATATACTTACACTTAATGAAGAATTTTGCCTAGCCTTTCCATTATATTCCCAAACATCAGTTCTGCTAAGTCTTCTCTCTAATTTAAAATGTAATTCTCCACTTGTTCTTTTTCACAGTCACAATTGAAAACCATTTTATGTCATTTTCTATACTGAAATATATCTATTTTCAAAAAACATTATTGCCCTTAAGAAACATGCAGTCTCTCATTTTCTTTTGATACTTGCAAAATATCCAAATATTTGAGAGATAATATACCAAAAAAGAGACTAATGCAGGTACAGAAATGCATATGTTTGTGCTTCCATATTTCAAACTTAAAACTTCAATATTTCCTTATTTGTGAATCATTATTAAAATTTTAATCATATATGAATGGTTTAATAGTAGCTTTTACAGAACCAGTTCTTTTATTCGTACATCCTACCTTTTAATCAAGTTATCAATGCTAAGCTGGACGAGCATAAGAGCCAAGGGCATTCGCTAGTGTGATGGGATGCCCAAGGAGACATGTCATGGCAGCTTAAACTATTGGCATTGCACTAGATCGCCTTTTTGCTAGCACAACATAATTTATGTTACTGCTTATGTTGCATTGGATGTTGCTCAATATTTGTAAAAGTGCTTGGAATATTATTCCTCATTATATATCTATGATTTTTGTACTTTTTGCAGTCCATGCCATAA